TGTGAACTATTAGGGAGGGGCTGTCTTCACTCTCTTTCTCTCACACATAACATCTGAACTGAATAGCCTTATTCCTCTAGAATGCACCCCCTCCCTCTGGAGATCTGCCTCCTCACTAAATTCCATCACAATTGTAATATCCCAGTTTTGGGGAAGGAAAGTGTCAGTGTTTTCTAACCTTTTAGTTCTTGTTTTCATCAGAAATCCATAGAACTGTTTTGTGACATTAGACTTCATTTGCAAGCTGATGATTTCTCTTCCAACTTCTAATGTACCTTGGGATCTAAATAAAACAAAACAAATAGGATTTGGCTTGAGCACTATGTGGAAAAATCCAAGATCCATGGAAACAGTGTACTTTTTAATATAACCACACTTATATAATAGTTGCATTATGAAAACAGGGATGATAAAAGCTCTAAGGCTTTTTTATTTATTTATTTTGCAGCCTTCCTAACAAGTCCATCATGACCATGAGTGTAAGATGTTTCTTGGCCAAAATGCACAGAGTGCAGGACTGGGTTTTAAAGCAGCCTCATGCTGAATCAAAATGCACTCATGTGCATGGTTTCATACAAAAAATATTTGAGAGAAGGATGCCTAGCCAAAACAAGCTTTCCAAACAATGGGATTCAACATGGAAGTTTATAAAACAGGTTTAATCATTTCTGCTGAGATTTAATATGACATGCTAATGTTGAAATATTGTGATCAGCTAAGCACTCTGTAAAATGTTGTTTAAGGCAGCTGTAACTGTTTGTTTTAAAAGATTATGTTCAAAATCAAAAGGAATTCAGTTTCCAGAACATAATGTGAGCCGCTTGTAAAATTCCTTGGTTTTTGGCTTTTGCTGATTTTTCATAGCAAACCATCTGACCATGTCATTTATTTTTGGTAAATACAATTATGGATAGTAACACAAATTAAAGCGAAGGAGGGGAGTAATAAGTAAGCCAAGGAAGATTAGGTTGTAGTGTTGATCCAACAGCAAATGAATATGCTTCTTAGCTTGGATTTTCTGTTTCTTTTGCATCCCAGATCATTCATCTTGGGACGTTCTTGGAAACAGCTTTCAGGGAGGGATTTGAGGTGACAGGTAAAGCCCCTTTTACATAAGCTTTTCCCTGTGGTTACAACAGTATAAGAAGTCTTTGTTTCAGTCTGAATAACTGAATTTTCTTATTAAAATGTCTAGTATTATCCTCCCTCCAAACAGGCAGGATGTTTCAATGATGTTGAAATGTCTAATGTAGCTCACAGCTACGTACACAGCTTCTGTGTAGATCAGAGCTCAGCAACGTTTAATAATAATAATAATAATAATAATAATAATAATAATAATAATAATAATAATAATAATAATAATGATGATGATGATGATGATGATGATGATGATGATGATGTTGAAAGGCACCTTGGAGGTCATCGAGTCCAACCCCCTGCTCAGGCAGGAAACGCTACACCATTTCAGACAAATGGCTGTCCAGTCTCTTCTTAAAAACTTCCAGTGTTGGAGCATTCACAGCTTCTGGAGGCAGGTTGTTCCAAATTAAACTGCTCTGGGACTTCAGAATTCAAACAGACAAGCACCTGCAACATAACACCCCAGATTTAACAATTGTCGATAAGAAAGACAAAAAAGTCTGGATAGTGGACGTGGCAATGCCTGGAGACAGCAGAATAGACGAGAAAGAACTGGAGAAGATAACAAAATACAAAGACATAGAAATAGAAAGACTGTGGCAAAAGCAAGCAAGGGTAGTACCAATAGTAATAGGCGCCTTGGGTGCAATCCCAAAACAACTGGAGCACCACTTGAACACCATCGGCATTGACAAATTCGCTATTAGTCAATTGCAAAAGGCAGCCTTACTAGGAACTGCTTCCATCCTGTGACGATATCTGTAATACCATCAAACATCCACATCTGCCTATCCCAGGTCCTGGGTAAGGACTCGATAGGTAGACAAAATGCAAAATCCAGTCTGAACATCTGGCTGACTGTGCGATGATCCATAATAGTTGGAAGGCACCTTAGAGGTCATCGAGTCCAACCCCCTGCTCAGGCAGGAAACGCTACACCGTTTCAGACAAATGGCTGTCCAGTCTCTTCTTAAAAACTTCCAGTGTTGGAGCATTCACCGCTTCTGGAGGCAGGTTGTTCCACTGGTTAATTGTTCTAACTGTCAGAAAGTTTCTCCTTAGTTCTAGGTTGCTTCTCTCCTTGATTAGTTTTCATCCGTTGCTTAAAACATACCTTTCACCTGTGGGTACTCCTTATATGTATAATTAATTTATAAAATATTAATATTTTCTAGCAGTTTAGAATATAAACTTTGGAAGGATTTGAGATCATTTTGTAACTGTGTGGAGATGATCTCAGGAGGCAAGAGGAAGAGCCTCAGACTAGACAACAGTCAGGTGAGCAACAGCTGAGTCTGCAGAAGGAAGGTGGGGGTGACTGCAAATGTATCAAAAGGTACCCTCCCTGATTTTTTGGACTGTAAAGACGAGGGTGGGGGAGAGAAATGGATTTCCAGACTTATAAGAATCTATTAACGCAACCTTACAATAAAGTTAGAACTAGGACTCAGAAACAACTTCTGAGTTGTTTCTTGTATGGACTACCTTGCAAAGGCCGACAAATTTATTACTTGCTTTCTTCGCAATAGGAAAACATTTTTTAAAAAATAAAAATAAAATCCATACAAATAGGAGAACAGGTCAATAACAATGACCATATACCACAATGCTGATTTAGATGCTGGCTTTTTGGAGAGGCACAGAATGCTTAGAAATATCCCTGCTGTTCCAAGTTGTATTTTTTTTTTAACTGAGGCTCATATTTTACTGTTTATGATTTGGCAAGCAAAGAACAAAGTAGGAGATATCACAATATCTTCCTCCTTTCCAAAAAAAAAAGGATAATATTTGTAGCTCAAATTTGAAATCAGGGATCTAGCACTGATGAGTTACCTAGTTTGGGTAATGAAACATCTGCAAGAAAGCAACCAGAGAGCATGAAGGACCACGCATGGTTTCCAATAACAGATTCATTCCTATATGCTTTCTTTGGATGATTGCTTCAAAACCAAGTTGGAACCTGTAATTCAACAAAATAGAAGCATAAGTTCTAACAAAATTGAGAGGTAAGATGATCACAAGCTTAATTCTCGGCATAGTCTTTCCCAACTTGATACCCCCCACACACTTCTGTTATGAAAACTGTTGTGTCCTGGGCCTGCTGAGGCAATTCAGCAGAATTGTTGCAAATGGTCCCGGGCAACCTAAAAGCTGCATGGGACCAGACTGGTTGGCGCCGGTCTTGTCTTGCACGCATGCGCAAGGCGCGAAAAAGGGTGTTTGTGATTGGTTGGGTTTGGGAGACTATAAAAGGCCTGCGCGCCTGCTTGTTTGCTGAGTGGTACAGTGGAACGAATAAAGAAAGAACTTGGTTAACAACTTGTCTGTCGCTTCAATGCCGCGAACCCCAATACGTAAAAAACCCAGTGTCCAGAACTCTCTTTTTTGATATGGTTATCTAATATCATATGTAAATATTTGCAATCAGAGATGCCCGGTATGTTTTCCAACAGATTTATTTCATATTCTTTTGATAAATAATTATTGTATTAGATTCAACATCATCTCATCAGTGCAACAGTGATACAACCTGAATTTGCTACACAGCATAAAATTGCACCAGCTACACAATGCATTTGAATATCTGGCCATTATTCTAAAAGGTTGAATAGATTTTTAAGACTGAGACTAAGGATATTTTTTTTATAGGATAGTTATTTATTGTCATATAGTAATCCATTTTATTAATTTCATTAGGGTAGCAAAACAGGTAGTGTGGGAATGCCACAATTGTCAACTTTTCTGTTCTTCCTAATCAGATCCTTTTCATGGACTGAAACATCTGGCCCAATGTACTGTTGTTATTCAAAACCAAAATCACAGTGAAGCTTTGGCATTTTCCATTTACAATTCCATCAATCACTATTGTATAATTTAGTTGTCTATTTAAAAAAATGCCTCAGAATTCTTTGGTGTGTCCTCCTGCAAATGTTTTCTAGTGGGGTGTGTCAGCATTAAAACATCTAGTTCAATTCAGAATCTATTCCAAGCTAGGGAAACCTCCTGAAAAACACTAGGAAAAGAAAAGGTATAGTTGTCATCTTGTAATATATATCTTCATGAAAAAAAAAAGATATGTGGGAATCTTGCATTATTGATAGATTTGGACTTTCTTGCACTCTTCAGTTATGAGAACAAATGGTTAAATAAAAGCCTGCCATTAATTCCACAGCTGCAAACCTTCTCAATGAATAATAAAGCCTGACAATCAATGAATGCAAAAATACATGCTTTACTAAGAGAGGAGTGGATTTTGATGTTTTTAGGTAATAAAACAAGAGACAAGCACTATTATCTTGATTATATATACTATGCGTAACCCAGAATTTTTCTTACCAGCAATAATATCCATTGTCATCTTGGTGAAGCATTTTAAATATCATTATATAACAGAATAAGAGAACACTCTAATTGTCATTGATCTGTTTTGCATTAATTTTTAACATAAAAGAACACAAAGTAATTCAAGTTGTTACAAAATCAAGACATATGACCACAGGGGGAGAAAAACCTATCTCTCCCCCCTCTTCTCTTTAGAATTCCAACTGACCATTTATGTGAATTTTACCATTAAATCATAATGTGCGTAGGTCAGAAGGACTTTCCTGAGCTTTTCATTTTTATTTATTTACTCCAAAAGTTATTGAAACTCTCTAATTAGAGGACCATTTAATTTCCTTCCTATGTCATTTTCTTCAATTTAAATGCTACTTTTCCCCTTTCTTAAAGCTGCTTTTAACTGTAGGGGGACATATAGAGACAGAAAATGGCCATTTTAAAATTATTAAAAGCTTTTATCTACTAGCACTTCTTGACTTTCAGAAATTCACTGATAATTTTTCTTTTCTTTTCTGAAGGAGTACATGGACTCAAATAAATACGTAGATTACTTGCTAAGTCAGATGGAAGAACAGCGCTGGAACTTGTGGAAGTAGGTAGATTTGGAATATAAATCAATAACATGGTCTTATTCCTATTTAATCAGGAGTAAGAATATCACAGACTTAACACTTTCAATGTCAATACAAGATTTCCCCTTATCTTTGCTCTTAATGTCAAATGTAATGTCAGCAAATGAAGTCCTTCCTATATATGTTCATAATTCTGAATATACTTTCATGAATACCTAAGTTTAACTGATATTGCTGTTAGATGTTGCAAAAATGACATTTTCTTTTCAGTATAAATTAATGAAACTAAATTTATCGCTCATTAAAACAATACTATAAAAATAATGTAAACACATTACCAGATAGGTTCCTGTTTTGTACATTATACTGATAAGATTCTTGTTTCTATTATACTGTATATGTTAGGATTTTTAAAAAAATCTGCTGTACTTTAGTAGGAAAAAATCACTGAGATGCAAAATATTATACCGATTTTTTCCTTTGAAATTCTAGTTTACAAGTGTTCATTAAATTGAAGAAATTTATATATTTTTTAATTATTTTAGCAGCTTTTAAAACATTTGTGTATAAAATTAACTAAAATGTTAGGGGCACATGACTTGTGTGCATTAAATTGTTTTCTCTTTGTGTATGTATAGTTTTAGCTGAGAGTGCAATCTGCAGATGAATTCTTCTCAGGCAGATGTATCTAAGTTTATTTTGTCCCAGGGATTGAAATGTAGACTGGAACACTTAAAATTTAGGTACTGTAATTGTGTGTACTGCTGAATAGATTAATGTATTGAACAATGTGTTGACTTTACTTACTTTTAGAACTGTAGCTATCCAACTTTGTATCTTTGTATCATTGCAGAAATGAAAATCATTCTCAGAGTAGTATTATCCAAAATGAACAGCTTATATCAGGACTCAGAAATCTCACATTTGCTTCTGGCCATATTTTTTTTAATATTTATCCTTCTAAGGGTATACACACACACAAACACACACATTTCTATGTATAGAAATGCAAACTTAAGAGTGCAATACTAAATGTGTTTCTTTAAAAGACTCTTTACAGTATATTCATTTAGGCTTACAGTTGGCTGTATAATTGTAGAACTGGATCCTTATAGGGCAGTCTTCTGCTGATCTTCTCAGACCTAACCCAATTAAGTACAGTGTTTCTTATTCCCAGCTAAATGTGACAGCTTTAATCTTATATTTTCTATTCTCGTGCGTTTTCTATTCTCTATTCTGTAACTTTAAGATCAAAGGTAAAATGCTTTCCTATGCTTTCAATGGGGGAAAAGAACACACAACAACGTTGTATTTGATTCAGTGCAATGCATTCCCTGTTCTTAAAATTATATGTTAAAACTATGACCCACATAAAGGATTTAGCAAAATTATAAAAACAAGTCTAAAGACTGTAGAATAAGATGAAGTAAATCCAAAGCAGATAATAAGGGAAGATGATTAACAGGCAGAGCACTGCATATGTTAAATGCTAAAAACTGGAACGTAAAAAAAAAAAAAAGCAGCTAAAGAGATCCCATAAAATCTTGGATAATTATTTAATCCAATAAGTAAGTATTCCAAGAAGTGCCTTGGACTATTCTACTCAGCCTCTCTATGCTGTAGTAGATAATCTTGCTACATTCTTCTCAGAGTCTGTTAAGTTGTTAGCCACACTGACTGCACGAGAGACTTTGACAGACACAAGTTTCACAGATGGAGCCTCATTTTTGTCTATGACCTCTAGTTTGAGGTTTCTGCTTGCTAAACTTGATCTCAATTTCAGGGCCCCTTAATCCAGTACTTCTTAACTATTAGTTCCATTGATTCAGCACCTTGTGACTTGAAAGATTTGTCGCTCTGATTAAAATACACTATTGTGTACATATTTGTACACAGATATGTTTGTCTGTCTATATATCTTACAAGAAATAAAGGGGGGGACATTTAGGCACTTATTCTGCAAACAAATAAAGAAAACACACACATTTGTGTTGTGATGAATGATTTAATGAATGGTAATTAAGAGGTGGATAGGGAGAGATAAATAATACTAGTTAGATAAATATTATTTTTCAATGCGTATCTTTTCAAATTAAAGCAAACTTTATTTTAAATCTGTTTTATCAGAAACAGATAAAAGTTGTATTTGGATAATTTGAGCCCAGTATCCACTCAAGAAAACCTTTGCTTATGCAATTGAAAAAGATGAACTCATCCCTAAGCTATTTAAACAAATAGTTCAACACCAAAGCCTCTAAGTGTTTGCAAGTAATCTCAAAAAATATGAAGAAGAAGCCCTGGATACTCCTGGGCATATATAAGGTAATTCTCTCTATGCACTATCTGTGGATTATCAAGTGCAATCGCTTTTATTTGCAATGGATGCTGTAATCTTGAAATGTGTTCTATTAGACCCCTGCCAAATCAAAAGAGGGGATGAACTAAGCCATGCAGTTTCAGAAGAGGTGTGATTCACGGCTAGGTCCTAAGCATGAAAGGGGACACAGGTAGATTTTCATTGTTTCTAGCATTCCCATGAAGCACTCTGCTCACCACCATTTATATTGGCTGGTCAACCAATATAAACTACTTGAGAGGGTGGGTGGGTGGGGAGGAATTGTAACAAAGATAATATCTGCTTCTCTAAAAGAATGCTGTATATCCACATGTGGAATCTAGATTTGCACAATTTTACAATTAGTTCAAAGTATAAGGAAGAAAAATGAGAAGTTACAGTAGAAACTTTTTTTTACTCTTAAAGTCAAAATTATATTGCTTATATAAAGAGAAATATATAAATATAAAGAGAAAACATATTTCCACATACATTTGTTGCTTTTATTTCCTAGAGTCCTAGACCATTTTCTATTTCTCTACTATTTCAACCAACATCCAAAACTTAAATAGCCTTTAATTTCAGTTCCAATAATAGTATAAACAATAGAATTTTGCTGTTAATATTTATGTGCCAGTTAATATTTGCCTATCTCACTTGATTCTTTTTTTAAAAAAAATATCTCTCCAAATACTGAAGCAAAACCTTGAGATATTGGCAAGTTCCTCTGGCATTCTTCTTTTTTTGAAGGCCAGTCTGATAAGTAGAAGACCATGGGAATAACTGATGCTGTCCAAGGGCAACACTAGATTGTCTATAGTCAGACAGATGTCCTAATAAATCAGGATAGACCACTTTCTCAGACTTCATTATGCCCTTGATTTGTGGTTGCCACAAATTAACGTATTGGGTCATTGGATGCTGAACCTGACATTGAACGATAGCCTCCAGTTTACTCTAGCTAGCTAATAAAAGAGACAGACACAAGTTTTGAACGTTTAACTCCTTCAGCATTACTCACAGTCCAGCTGATTTATAGCAACCCAGATGAGAGAGAGAGAAAAAGGAGACTAAAAGTGATGTCATGCTGCTCATACAGAATGCCTATCATAACACACGTAGAGCAGTTTGCAAGAACATGTGGACAAGGAGGTGGTTTTTTTTCCCCCTTTCTCATTTCACAGAGCCTGATACATTTTGCTTTCTTCATGTGACATGGCCATCTGTTTTGGAGCATGAAAATTTATTGCTACTATCTCATTTCCTGGGGGATACTTAGGCTTAGCTCATGTTTCATAACATTTTGCAAAAATAGATCAAGAACTTGCATTCCAGATTTATTTTGCACCTCAGTATTTTGTTACTATAGCAGAAGATAAAACCTCTTAACAATCTGTTGAAATCCAACTTTTTAAGGCTTTCAGCATCTTTTCCTTTGCTTTTTATATACTTTATATTATAATAATATCAACATAACATTAAAATATGAAGTTTTAAACCTAGATTTAGGTAATTTTGAGATATGATCTACTTCCAGATTGTCTGCCTGTCTGCCTTTTTCTTATATTTATATTTTATGCTTTGAAAATGTTGATGCTCATTTAGCTGTGTTAGAAATTATTTTCCTCTGTAAGTATGTCAAGCCTAATATTAATTGTATTCAGCTTCTGTATAATAATATTCAATAACAGAAAATTTTACCTCTGATACAAAATTATCTATTAAGTTGGAGAAAGCAATTTCTGACTATTTAACAAAATAAATAAAATCATGCAAGAGCTAACATTCCATAGTGGAAATTTTGGTCAAACAAGAAATTTAAAAGCTTATTAATCAATTATTAATTTGCATCTATTTTATTACAACCATGTAGTACATCATCAATTCCTGTAATGGATTTGATTCTTCAAAAGTAATAGAACGGTTTGCATTTATTTATCAGAACTATTTATCTACACAGCTGAGGAGAATGGGTGGATTATACTGAAGTGACAATCAGAGACTAGAAATAAAACTCTAGTGAATTAGACTTTAGAAAAGATTAAGTAGAAATCAGTGATGGGAGAGCTGCAAAAGAAATTGAAAAAGAAATAAAGGCTTAGCCTGGTGAATGAAACTGTTCTTCGGGTCTTTCAGCATTTTCTTCCATACTTTTATATAGTCGATATTAAAATTATATCAACATAGTATTAATTAAGGTATAACATTTTAAACTCAGATTTAGATAATTTTGAGATATGATACTGCCCTTAAGTCAGTTCAGTACCACAAAAAGTGAGATTATGGCACAAATTCTGAGTAGGCAGATTTATTGTGAGGAAAAAAGGATTTGTGTTGCAGAATTTTGGAAAGTGAATTTATGTAACTTGGTTCTCATTAGCAAATGTGTCAAAGTGTCTGTGTGCTTCCTATTGCATTTGATTCCTCTTTCTGATTCTTGGCTTCATGGGGGGGATGCTAATCATCTGATGCCATAAAAATATCCCATCTGTTCTTGTTCCTCACTATTTTCAAAATGTCCATTTTCATTTTTCAGGCTCTGGGAATTCCATCACATTAAGCCTGGAACAGCAGCGATTCACACGGAATTGTGTTTGGGTTTTTTTGCAAAGAGATAGTAAACTCTTTCCTATCCACCTGCACTTTCATTTACAGACACCTTCTCTACTGCCAATGATTTAAAGA